CCCAGCTGGTGTTGACTTCAATCCACCAGCTGTTTAGACAAAAACACCGGATCTGCCTTCAGAGACACCACTCAAAGCGCCGATCCAGCCAGTGACTCCAGTCTTGGTGCGACGTCACCACTGTGACTCCCTCAAACCCTGCTGGGAAGGACCTTTCACTGTGGTGCTCAGCACTCCTACTGCTGCCATCAAGGTAGCAGGAAAGACTGTGTGGATTCACCATACCCACGTCAAGCCACTGGAAGCCACAGACAGTGAGGAGCATTCTCAATGGACTGTACAACAGACTGGTAACCCCTTGAAGTTAAAATTGACTAAACAGTTAGATTATGCCAGTATGAACTGCTTTAGCTTGCTTGCTTTGATTTTAATAACATTGATGCCGACCTTGCACGGTGGCTTTGGTCCCTCTGTGAGCAAAGAACAATTGTTGAGATCTTTGTATGGGAGTCCCTGTGATTGTGGAGGAGGCTATATTACTAAAGGTAAAAACACCATTGAGGGGGGAATTATACTTACAGTAGGAAACAAGGATCGAGATCCTTCCCACACAAATGATAAATTATATGCATATAATCTTTGGACAGATTGTGGGGACAAGTTAGCATTCCTTGTTGCTATACCCTCAGTTACAGGGGGTTTGACTCAAAGGTGGATGTGTATGTTAAAGCCCTGTATGATACCTAACAAAGGCAGCCAGGCAGGGCCATGCCCTCAGAATTGTTCTTATTCAGAAATGCATTCCTCCTGCTATGATTCTATACAAGAATGTATAGGCATAGATAGCAAAACTCACTTCACTGCTGAGCTTATGAGGACATGGGCTGGAAATATTGGATGTGATTGGTCCACCAATCCGACAGTAATAGGAAGTTCAAAGTATGCCCAAGCCTCATGTCTCAGCACAGTTGGTAAATTAGTGTGCTGGAGCAGGGTGGCCCCTATACATGTGTCTGATGGGGGCAGCCCACAAGATAAGATCAGAGAACTCATGGTTGAGGAGTGAGTCAAACAGCTAATAAAAATAATGTTTCCCCAGATACATTACCACCACTTGATGCTACCTAAATCGCAGGGAGTTGATCTGGATGCTCAAACTTCTGATATTCTAGAGGCCACTCATAAAGCCGTAAATGCTTCCAACCCAACTTTGGCTGAAGATTGCTGGTTATGCATCGCACAGGACTCCCCCATGCCCCTTGTGATCCCCACCAATGTTTCTCTGACCACTCTGGAGGAACAAGATTACTTAAATTGTAGTGCTGTCCCCCCCACCCTTTAGAGTACAGCAAGTAGGTTTCAAGGACTCTGTCTGTCTCCAAGGAGGTTTTCATAATGATACCTCCGACATTGACTTGGGGTTCGTTGCATTTACTAATTGAAGTTCCATAGTTAACCGGACTATCTCCCTTTATCCCGCCGGAGGACAAGTATTTATTTGTGGAGGAAATATGGCCTATACTTTCCTCCCAACTAACTGGACAGGGATATGTGTAACAGCAGTCCTATTGCCTGATATAGAGATCCTACCCAGGGATGAGCCTGTCCCCATTCCTAGTTTAGATTACATCACAGGCCGATCAAAGAGGGCAGTTCAATTTATCCCTTTATTGGTAGGCCTAGGAATATCAGGAGCCTTAGATATGGGGGCAGCAGGAGTAGGGGTTTCTGTCCAACTTTCCAACCAGATCGTTAGTGTTGTGCAGGCATTATTTAGTATCATTCAGGTCATTCAAGACCAAATAGACTTGTTGGCTGAAGTAGTTCTCCAAAACAGAAGGGGACTAGACCTCCTAACGGCAGAACAAGGAGGGATCTGTGCAGTATTGCAGGAACGATGCTGCTTTTATGTAAATAAATCCGGCATTGTTGGAGATAAAATCAAGAGACTACAGGAAGACCTAGTTAAAAGGAGAAGAGAGCTATTTAAAACACTTTATGGAGTGTCTAGAATGGAATCCTGCCCTATCTCCTGTCCTTGGTTGGACCATTGTTAGGAGTACTGCTTTTGGTCACAGTAGGTCCTTATATACTCAATAGAATAATTGCATATGCCAGACAACAAATGCAAGGCATAAATCTCATTCCCAACTACTTGGCCAAGGATTTGGCCTCAGTCACATCAGAGGGGAATCTTGTAACCTAGTTCTAACCATTGCGCCTCATTCCTGTTCTGTATGTGCCTCTCAGCCACCCCCCCTTCCTATCTTTCTAGGTTAAGTTTCTATTTCCTGAGAAAGCTGTAAAAGCCTTAGGTTTCAGTTTCCTATAACCCCCTCCCCTACCCCTCATCTGGCTATCTGTAATAAAATGTGCTATTCTTTAAGAAATGCTTAACTTCAAGGAAATTACAGGAAGTTCTGTAAAGTTCAGGTGCTACCTAACTGTGTCAGTGATTACAACATTCCTGTGGTTTTCAGTTTTAAAAGCCTAATCCCCGAGCTGTGAGGCGCACAGTCTCCAAAATGGCTCCTGGGGATTGTGTCGCCAGGCCTGGCCTAAAATAAAGCCTTTGCTCCCCAAATTTTAATTTCTTGCTTCCTTGGGTTTTATTCCGGGGTCCAAGCTATCACAAGTATGAGGCTAGTCTGGACTACAAAGTGAGTTCAAGACTAGCCTGAACTGCACAGTGAGACCCAGTCTCAAAAAAAAAAAAAAAAAAAAAAAAAAAAAGAGAAAGAGAGAGAGAAGAAAAGGGAAAAAGAAAATAATGGTGGCTGTTAATGTAAGCCCACTTCTAGTCATATGAGTCTATTACAGCCTCTAAGCCTATTTATTTGTGTTGTACCCAGAGTGGGACACCCTTACTACTTGCATCACATCCTCAATCCCAGCATCGTACCCTTAATTCCACCATCATACTAAAACACAAACCAAAGAGGGGAGAAATGTTATTGACAAAGCTAAGTTAAGTGGAGATCAGGCTAATTTTCTTTTTTCTTTTCTTTTCTTTTTCTTTCTTTTTTTTCTTTTTTTTTTTTTTTTTTTGTCTTTTTCCTTTTTATTGGTACCGGGGATCGAACTCATGACTGCCTGCTTGTAAGGTAGGCACTTATGCCGCTGAGCTAAATTCCCAGCCCCTGATCAGGCTAATTTTCAAAAGAAAAAGGCAGCAAACAAACGTGAACAAGGCATGCCATGAGAAATTTTTTAAAAAGCAAAAATAAAGAGAAAAATGTATTGCGGCTGGAAGAAAAACAAAACTCACTCTCTGCAGCCTCCATGGCCAGAAAAGCAGCAGACATGCCTCTGTGTACCATGAGAAGAGTGCCTAGGCCATGGGGAGAGAGTGAGGGAAAGAATGAGAAAGGAAAAGCCTTAAGCCTTTGTGATGTTTAGGAAAAAGCAAAACGTGCATCCATCTGGCCTTATCTGTTCTCTTTCTGGCTGATTACACCAAATAAATGTTACGGGGTAGCTTTTAAAGGTGACTTGCCAAATAAACATTATGAGGTTTTATAATGATCACATCTCCTTCTGGAGTTGAATTCCAGGTTCTTCTCATCTCAAATGAAGAAATGAATGAAGTGAGCAAAAACTGGGGTGACAAAATTTAATTAAAAAGTAAAAGCTGGGCTGGGTGTTTAGCTCAGTGGTGGAAGTCCCTGCCTGGCAAGCATGAGGTCATGAGTTCAATCATGGTGGCACACACTTGGTCCAGCACTGGGAGGCTGAGGTAGGAGGATCATTGCAAGTTCAGGACTAACCTAGACTACCAAGTGAGCTCAAAGGCAGTCCAAACTGTTTCAAAAAGACAAAAACAAGAGCTGGACGTAGTGGCACAGGCCTGTAATCCCAGGAAGCAGGAAGCAGAGGCAGAAGGATCATTGCAAGTTCAAAACCAGCGTTGGCTACAAAGTGAGTTCAAGGCCAGCCTCAACTACATAGCAAGATCCTGTCTCAAAAAGACCAAAAAAAAAAAAAAAAAAAAAGTGAAAGTGCAGAATGAAAGAGAAACTGGCTCTGAAGAGCAAGTGTGGACTTGTTGTGGGAAAATTCTCAAGCCAAACCAAACCAAAAGGAAGACTGCATTGAGATAAGAAGGCAATCTTAATCTTTACACCAGCAGGCTGTATTGGAATTTCATTCATTCATGGGGCTAGGCATTTGCTCAGTTGGTAGAGTGTTGGTACAAGGACTTAGGTTCAATGTCCAGTACCAAAAAAACAAAACAAGACTCAGCATTACAAGTGGTGCACACCTGTAGTCCTGGAACTCTGGAAGTTTAGGCAGAAGGAGATCCATGACGTCAAGGTATACATAGGGAGTTCAAGGTCATCCTAAAATACATAGCAAGACCCTGTCTCAAAAACCAAAAGCCAAAACCAAACTAAATCTATTTGTCTATTTATTTATTGACAGGTTCTTGCTATGTAGTTCAGGCAGGTTTTGAACTCATGGCCATCCTCCTGCCTGTGCCTTCGGGGGTTTAAATGCTCCTGCCTGAGGGTATAAATTTTGTTTAGAAAACCAAACCGATTTTCAGAGTGGTTCGCAAATCACCATGGATAAGGGTTCCAGGCACTCCCCATTTCTGCCCTGTTTAGTAGAGGTTCTAATTTATAGTACTAGCTGTTTATCTTCTTGATAAAGATGTTAAACAACTTTTGAGAAGTACTCTGTCTGTTCAAAAAATTTTTTTTGCCTTTTGTGCTGGGAATCAAACCCAGGACCTCTTATATTGTAGACAAGCGCTGTATACTGAGCTACACCTCCAAAGCTTTTTCGGGGGTGGGGGTTGTTATGTAAAGTATTTTTTGCAATTCATTTCGTCCAGTTTATGGTTATTTGTGTGGTTGGCTTCACTTAGTTTAATGGACCAGCGCCCTACGGACGGTACAGATTGGGTTCCGGACAGTTCAATAATTGCTGGAAGCGACCGACCCTGGGCGCATAGGTCCACGCGATGATTGGCTGAAGGAGAACTTCCGCAGGCTCTTCCGGGTTCTGGCTCTGTGGATCGGTGGTTGGCTGGCCTGGCTCAGCGCAAAGCCTCCTGGGAGTTGTAGTTTTTCCGGCTCTGTTGGGGACGCCCGGAAGGGTTATTGTGGTTGGGGTCTCCAAGAGGCAATTGCTTTGGTTCGCGACAGCTGGCACCATGTCCCGCCTGTCGGTGCCCTGTCACGTGAAAGGCGCAGTAGCCCTGCAGATCGGCGACGTGCGGACTGTCCAAGGCCGGCCTGGCGTGCTGGTCATCGATGTCACTTTCCCTAGCATGGAGCCTTTCGAGGTGAGCAAGCCGGGTGGGTGGGATGGAGCTCTTGGGCGGGGCAATGGGGAATTTGGGCGTTGCCCAGGCGCTTAATCTTTCACCCAAGCCTCTGCAGCGTCCCTGGGGAACTACGTAACCGTTCAGTTTATTTCTAAAGTAGTACCAACAGTATTTACTAGAATAACGCACCCTGTTCTGTTCTCTTCTCCATCGCTTGCCCACATTCTAGGACAGCGCTGGCGCGAAGGTGTCAGGAAGTAGGCTAGATGGTGCTGGAAATACAACTGTGAACGGAACAGTGTTGAGCGCTAAGCTTGTACTTGGCCACAGCTGGAGACCATTAAACAGTTATTTACCTCAAACCAGCCTTCTCATTCCTGCAATCCCTGACGGAGTTCAGAGTAGAACCTCCCAGGCCTGGCATGGTGAATGCCTGTAATCTCGGCACTCTGGAGTCTGAGGCAGGTAGATCACCTCAGGTTCAAGGCCAGCTAAGTACCTTATGGTGATGCCAGTTTTCAATCTCCATTTGGCACTTTATATTAGCTGACCGACTAATTGGATACTACATGACCCCAACACAAAGGAAAAAGCCCACTTCGATGGCCTGGCCTTCAGAGCCATTCTGTGGTTGTGCCCCTCCTTTCTTTTTGACCCCTACACTTATATTATATAATTGTCTCCCAAGCTGTTCCTTATAGTTAACTGGGAAACCTAGTTAAAGGTACTGACCCATGCTAAGTACCATGGTACACACACCTGAAATCCCAACACTTGGGAGGCTGAGGCAGATCCAAGTTCAAGGCCAGCCGAACTACATAATGAGTTAAAGGCCAGTTGAACAGCAGAGTAAGACCCTGACTCAAAAAAATAAAGCAAAAGAAAACAAAAACAGCAACAACAATATCCAAAAAAGAGGAAGTGATCCAGGAAATCATGGGTTGGTAGGGTTGAGGTGCAGTTTGGACACCTATATTTTTAAAAAATTTCCAGGAGTAACTGATGTGTTTCTATTGAGAACCACTGCTATAACCAGGTGAATTGTTGTTGTGTACCAGGTTGTCTGTAAACTTCTCTGCATATGCTATTTTTGTATCTTCTACCTTTCTTGGACCACTAACAAACTGTTCCTTCTTTAGGCCCCATGTGTACATTTTCTGCCTCCACCAAGATTAGGACTGTGAGACATTTTCTTTCTTTCTTTTTTTATTTTTATTTTTTTTTTTTTGAGAGAGGGTTTCAGGCTGATCTTCAACTCACCACAAAGCCCAGGTTGGCCTCAAACACCATGATCCTCTTGCCTCAGCCTTCCAATGCTGGGATTATAGGCATGGGCCATTATACCTGGTAGGACTGTGATTTCTGACAGCATTTGGACATGTGGCAAGACCCACAGTGATAGGTTGTTTGCATGACTTACTGTTTTAGATTGTGAGAACCTCTGAGAAAGTGAAATTGTGTTTGGCCCCAATAATGTTTATTGAATTATTTAGCAGAAGAGTACATTCTAAAAAAGAAGAGGAAGCTGAGCATGGTACATGTCTGTAGTCCCAGCTACTTGGGATGTTGAGGTAGGCAGATCATGAGTTTAAACCCAGGCTAGGCAATTCAACAATTCAGCATGACTTTGTCTCAAAATAATTGCTGGGAAGGTGGGGGGTGGGGGGTAGGGAGGTGGGGGTGGGGGGAGTGATTGGAACGTATCTGTGACCCCAGGCCTTTGAAAGTTGAAGCAGGAGGGTCACCATGAGTCTGAGGCCAACTTGGGCTTCATAGTGAGTTGAAGACCAGCCTGCAATACATAGCAAAACCTCTCTCACAAAACAAAAAAACCAAAAACCAAAAAAAAAATCAGCCAAACAACAAAGGAGCTAGAAGTGTAGCTCAATGTAAAAGTACTGGGTTCAGTCTCTAGTATTTTTTTAAAAGGTGTGTCGGGGGCAGGGAGCTGAGAATGTAGCTCAGTAACAGAGCACCTCTGGTTTTGATGCCCTGTAGGACAGTAAGAAAGAGGCCCTGTGCCTGGTTTATCATGGTGGGTTGTGTATGTTCTAGTTGCAGGAGATCACATTTAAGAATTACTACACAGCCTTTTTGACTATCCGTGTCCGTCAGCATACCTCAGCACACACACAAGCTAAGTGGGTGACCTGCCTGCGGGACTACTGTCTGATGCCTGACCCACACAGTGAGGATGGAGCCCAGGAATATGTATCACTATTCAAGCACCAGGTCAGCTGAGCCTCAGTATGGCAAGGGCAGCCCCGAAAAGGACTTCTGAGAGGCCTGGGGATAGAGCTAGTATACCAGGAGGGAAAGGGGTCAAGACTGACCTGGGCTATGGCTCCCAGGCAAGTGCCTTGGACAGAATATTATTTCCTCTCTGAAGACCTGGGGAGGCACTAGCTTGGGTCACTGATGGTTGGGAAGTTCCTGGGCAGTGAGTTGAAATTTTGGTGGGTCCTTGTGTATGTGTGTCAGATGCTGTGTGACATGGCCAGAGTACTGGAGCTGCGTCTCATTCTGCGGCAACCATCACCACTGTGGCTATCTTTCACAGTGGAGGAGCTGCAAATCTTCCAGCAGGGACCAAAGGTGAGTGAGTAGCCTGAAGCTGTTGGCCCTTTCCTCAAGAGCTATGGCTAGGAGAGCTGAAGAAGTGGGGATGTGATGGAGGAAAATAGTGAGCTCACAAGCAGGTTAGCCAAGTGTGAATGCTGGAAGCTCATGATGAGAGATGAGGCTCTGTCCTTATACTGCCTCACCTTTCAGAGCTGGAATCTTCAGGACACACTTTTACAGCTTACATTATTGGGGCTTTCTTCTTTATAGCTGTGGAACTCAGTAGCCTAACTGTTCCCTTGGGCTTCTTTTCTTGACCCCCTTTACAGGGTTTTCCCAATGTCTGAGGCCAGAGGTCTTTCCTCTTCTCCCACTCTGTCTCACTTAGGGAAGTATGCCTTTACTTTACAGAGCCCCTCTGTGACTTTTCCCAAGTGGCTCTCCCACCCAGTGCCCTGTGAGCAGCCTTCCTTTCTTGAGGTAAGTTCCTACCTTGGGTAAAACCCATGTGTGAATGGCTCGTGTGTCCAGCACTGGCCCACATGGTCCCCATTCTGTAAGATTACAGGGGGTGGACCCTAGTGCATTGGTCCAATCTGTGCCATCTTGGGTGTTCTGTGGGATCTGAAGAAGGCTGGGCTGCTTTCTGAACATTCATAAGTCATCTGGGAATATTACTGGTCTCATTTGGAGAGACCCATACCCTAGCTTGGTCTCTCTAGAGTTCTAAGGGCAGTACTGGGGAGAGACCCAGGGCAATTGAACCCTCCCTTTGGAGCAGGGTCTCCCAGATCCCAGCAGGGTGTCCTCTGAAGTACAGCAGATGTGGGCGCTGACAGAGATGATCCGGGCCAGTCACACCTCCACAAGGATTGGCCGTTTTGATGTGAGTAATCTTTAACCTTTGCTTGGCTTGCGTTGCCCTCAGTAGATCAGACCTCATAGTCCTTTGTGTTACAGGTTGACGGCTGTTATGACCTGAACTTGCTCTCCTACACTTGAACAGTGGCTCCTAGCTGAGATTTTGGCCTTTCCATGCCCACCAGGCTTGGTTTGGGCCGCCAGTGACAGAAGTGTGTTCCCGGTGCATTCTGAGTGTTGTCTGCATGTTCATCCTGTCTGGGCCACGTCCACAGGTTCAAGACTCTTGGGACTCATTATGTTGCTTCAGGATGAGTTCCTGGCAAGGTGCATTCTTTTTCACCTGGCTGCAACACAATTCCTTCTACTCTAAAAATACTCCAATTCTTTTTACTGAGAATTCCTGAGTGTCCTCTGCCCATCCTGCCCACATACACACCCTATCTTTTGTAGCTGTCCACACTGAAGCGCAGAGAGCTGGAATGAACCAGTTCCATCTAACCCTGGAAGGCCACTGCTACCTTGGCACTATGATTGGAAAGCTTGAGGCAGAAAGAGATGCCCCATCCTCCTTCCATGCCCCATAGTAGTCTTCTTTCTCTTTGTACTATGTCCACAAAAATAATTTCTTCTCTAAAACTTTATTATTATTTTTTTAGTACATACTTGTCATATATATCGATCATGTTCATCATAACAAATCTCAATTGTTCTTTTCATAAAAGAAGTTTCTTGTCTAAACTTTTCTGCTACCTTCTGGGGAGACAAAACTCAGGATTTTAGTAGCCAAGTTCCTAGGTCCCTGAGCTGGCTCTGGGATATGTGTTCATTGAGCCTGGACAGGCGCCTCTGCAAGCCTAGTGCTTAAGAATGAGACCAGCTACCTGTCTGCCATCTGTGCAGCCCAAGCACACCCATATCCTTGTCCCAGCTGCCTAATACATGCTGATCAGGAGTCAACCTTGGCAGGGGTAGATCCAAAGGGGATTTTCATTAGTGCCTTTTGAGAGGATGAGCCCCAGCAGTTCTCCAGGCCAAATGTTGAGTGATCCAGGTTGCTGCTGCTTCAAGAGAGAAAATCTCGTTCCCTTCTGGCTTGTGTCCCTGGAAAATTGGATAAACGCAGACTCACCAACCACCCTTTGGTGTCCAGCCCGTTCTTACTCAGGTTTGCAAGCTGGTATCTTCACCTGTATGGCTATTTGCTTAGTCCTACTCTGCTTTTGCTGAAAGGGTGATGACTGAAAATCCTGTGTTCAGAGAACAGTGCTCCTCAAGTGTATTGTGTGTGTATGTGTGTGTGCACATGCGCATGTATAAGTGAAGAGGATCCTGGGGTGGCCCCAACACCCAACACAGAGTCTGGTGTCCAGCAAGATTAATAAATATTACTGGAAGTTGGACAGCTGAGGCAGGAGGATCACCTTAAGTTGGAGGACAGCCTGGGCTACATAGTGACCCTGTCTCAAAAAATAAATAATAAAGACTTCTGGAATGTATGACTGTGATGGCTGCCTGTGTCTGCCCAGTGGTAAGAGCTGGACACTCCTACAGGAGACCAGACAACAGTGGTTTTCAGCTTGTCTGGCTGGCTCCACCCTCCTGAAACCTCCCCACCCCCATCACATTCTTTCTCTTACCCGCCTCAGGTCCTGAAAGTGTGATTCAGCCTTTTCAGTCTTTTGTGGAACTTTGGCCCTTGGGACGGGAGTTCATAGTGGGAGGTCTGACCCCTAGCTTCTCAGCTCTGCTTCTGCCCAATCCACCCTGAACTGCCTGAATTTGGCCAATTACCTAGGGGAACGGAGATCCTGAGAAATCCAGCACATTCTACTCTAGATCCCAGGCTGCCCTTGGGCTTCCCAACCCCTCCTCTAAACCTCTTTGCACTAGAGCGACCTGTCTAAGCAGGAGCTCGGACTACATCTCCCAGCGTGCCTGGCAGAGTGGTGGCCCGTGTGTGCCGTCTGCAGTTGCTTTGGGGGACGATGCAGCGAGCTGTGAGCCTGGTTGCCCCTCTTGGCTTTCTCCGGCCAGCACTCCCCGCAGCTCTGAGTCGCTCACTCAGTTGTGCACAGGTGGGATAAAGGGTGCTATAGGATCTGGTGCTGATCTTGGGAGAGTGGGGGCGGGAGGCAGCCGGGGACCAGGGCCCTGGTATGTAGTACTAAACACAGCTGCCTGCAGGACAAGCTCCGCAGGACTCCGCTCTATGACTTCCATCTAGCCCATGGTGGGAGAATGGTGGCGTTTGCCGGCTGGAGTCTTCCTGTGCAGTACAGGGATAGCCACGTGGATTCGCATCTGCACACACGCCGGCACTGCTCACTCTTTGACGTATCACACATGCTGCAGGTGAGCCAGGGAGTGCCAGCTGCTGGTCAGGCCTGCTTTCCCTTCACAGCACTGCATATCTGGGCTTTGCTTGCTGAGAGCTGGATTCCAAAGATAGCCTTCTCACAAGGGCTGGAGGTCTCCAGGGTGTCATGGACAGATTACAGTGCCAAAGAAATCGGAGGCAAACTCGGGGTGTTCTCAATCATCATCTTTCCAGTCTTTCCTGCCTTCTACTAAGCACATACCTTAATGCCTTGTGTCTTCCAGGACTGATAACTGTCATCTATCCTGGTGGGTATGGATTGGAAAAAGGGTATTTCAGTAAACTACTAGGTTCTCTTTAAGTTTCTAGACCTCAGTCAGTCACAACCTGGGCTGGGAGATGTGGGGGAATCCAAAGGTGACCCCGTCACCCGTAGAACTGACATTGGTCAGTCACCTCTGGGCTGGACTGGACTGTGGATGGCAGGGTGGAAGACTGCTTGCTCAATGGCTGATGCAGGCACCTAAGGGTCTCCATCTATTCCCCAGACCAAGATATTTGGTTGTGACCGAGTGAAGCTGATGGAGAGTCTCGTAGTGGGAGACATTGCAGAGCTAAAGCCAAACCAGGTGGGCCCTTTTGTTTCTGCTTAATGGGTGCTTCAGTCATGAGCCAGGAAGGGGGACAGATATGGGTCAGTTTCTCAGGGCTTGCTGTATTGGACAACAGTCCTTGGGTCATTTCTGGACACCTAGCCAGCGAGGGGTGGGGGCTATCCCAGCCTCACCACATCAGCTAATGGGGAGGGGAGCAAGACCAGCCTTACAGTGTTCTGGGGCTGTGACATAGAATATTGTAGGAGTGTCTGGGATCCCAGAGATGTTCTTTGAAGCTTTTATCCTGGGGGGTTGGAACACTGGCAAAATTGTGTGGGAGGGATGAAGCCGTCATTACTAAGCAAAGAGGGGCACAGGGTTGTCATTAGACAGGGGAGCCATCCCTATGTGGGGAGGATGGTGAATATTTACTTGGTACCCAAGGCTTGCAACTTGCACAGTCTGAGCCCTGTGCATGGGGTGAGGAAGTCTGTGGCTGAGTGGGCCCCTGAGGTATATCTAGCTCACCCTTGACATTGCCCTTTTGAACATGGAGGCAAAGATGCTACCCTTTGATGCTAGGGTACACTGTCGCTGTTTACCAATGAGGCTGGAGGCATCTTGGATGACCTGATTGTGACCAATACTGCTGAGGGATACCTATATGTGGTATCCAATGCTGGCTGCTGGGACAAGGACCTGGTCCTCATGCAGGTACAACCCATTCTTGTCGTAGGCACTTTGGTTTCCTTTTCATAATGCAGTATCCTAAAGCAACAGGTCCAGGAGACTTAGCACACACAAGGAGCTCAGAAGGTAACTCTGAGCGAGTGAACAACTATGAGATTTAAAAGCAGGCCTTCCCTAGAACATGCCAGCCTTTGGTGATAGGGAGATAAAGCTGATCCTGGCCCCTAAGTGAGCATCCTTTGGTAGGAGTATGAGCGGTGTTAGGGAATAGGTTATCCCTACCACTCAGCAGCTGTGTGACCTTGTAAGGTGGAAACTAGTCCACCATCTTATTGCTCAGGCCTGCAGTATCTAGCCCAGGGCCGGTGGTAAGTGGTACTATACTAGACACCGATGTGATGTTTTTGTCTTTCCTTTCAGGACAAGGTCAGGGAGCTTCAGAACGGGGGCAGTGATGTGGGCCTAGAGGTGGTGGATAATGCCCTGCTAGCCCTGCAAGGTGAGATGGCTAGGCAAGAGTCAGAGCCAACTTTTGGCTTCCTGGCTTCATTTGCTGCTTAGCACAGAGGCTATTCCAAGAGAAAGGCATGGATGGTGTGATATTTGTATGCTAGAATTCTAAATTAGGTACCCGTGCCCCAAGTTTCATGAGTCCATGAGTTAGGGGGCAAGGGTACCTTCTACTTGCAAAGTGAGACTTGCTCAGAACTTATTCTGGTCCCTGAGAAAGGGCTATAGCCCAGTTTTGAAGGGGTTTTGGCACCAGAATGCTTCATCACTGGCTTCCTGGGTCCAGGCCCCACTGCAGCCCAGGTGCTACAAGCTGGTGTGGCACACGACCTGAGGAAACTACCCTTCATGACCAGTGCTGTGATGGAGGTGTTTGGTGTATCTGGCTGTCGAGTAACCCGCTGTGGCTATACAGGAGAGGATGGTATGGAGGTATGTCAAGCAGTGGGTGTAGAGCACAGCAGGGCACAAGACTGGGGGCAACTGCCCACTGTTCCTGGTCTCTTGTGTTCTTTGTAGATTTCAGTGCCCGTAGCTGGGGCAGTCCACATGGCAATGGCTCTGCTGCAAAACCCAGAGGTGAAATTGGCAGGGCTGGCAGCCCGGGACAGTCTGCGCCTGGAAGCAGGCTTGTGTCTCTATGGAAATGACATTGATGAACATACCACACCTGTGGAGGGCAGCCTCAGTTGGACACTGGGTGAGTTGGGCTAAAACTCATGGGATCCTGGAGGGTGGTGTGAACTTTAATGAGGACAGCCAACCTGTGACTGCTCTTCAGTTTGTACAGGCTGGAGAAGGTTACTTAGCTTCTCTGAACCTTTATTTCCTGAACGTATTACTGTTTTTTTTTCATTATAAGTTGAGGACCTTTAGCATGGCTTTTAGTGGGTAGGAGGTAGTTGGATGACTGCAGTACAGGGAAGAAATAGAGCACGAGGGAGCCCAAATGAAGGGGACTTGATGCTTGTCACTTGGGGTCCCTGTAAAGTAAGGCCCCTTATGGCCAGGGCTTCTTGGGCTGGGACTTGGGTCTGGTGTGTCATGCCCTAGGGAAGCGGCGCCGGGCTGCAATGGACTTCCCAGGAGCCACAGTCATTGTTCCCCAGCTGAAGGGCAAGGTGGAGCGGAGGCGTGTGGGGTTGATCTGTGAGGGAGCCCCAATGCGGGCGCACAGTCCCATACTGCGTGCAGAAGGCACCATGATTGGTAGGTAGTCCAAGGATGCTGGGAACCCTATCCCTTTCCCTAGAAGAGTGGGGGCGTTGGGCTGGCATCATGGTGCATAAAAATACATGGCCTATGCTTGGACAGGTACTGTGACCAGTGGCTGCCCATCACCCTGCCTGAAAAAGAATGTGGCAATGGGTTACGTACCCTCCGAGTACAGCCGACCAGGGACACAGCTGCTGGTGGAGGTGCGGCGGAAGCAGCAGATGGCCATTGTCAGCAAAATGCCCTTTGTGCCCACAAACTACTACACTCTCAAGTGAAGATGGCAGGGGCAGAGGCCTCCCCTTCAGGACTGTCTTGCCTTGTGACACATTCTACAAAGATTAGTCAAGACAAGGCAGAACTATCTGAGGGGCAAGCAGCTGAGTATAGCTTGGCCTTCCCGCAACACAGGCCCCACTAACTTGAGGATCATGTTTCTGACTGACAGACCAAGCCTCTCAATGCCCAGGTTTTTTTCCCTGATTCCACTGACCACTCTGCCAGGTGCTGATGTAGAGTGAATGCTCACCTTTGTGAGTGGGTAATATCTGGCCAACCTACCTCATTGTGGTTTCTCACCTTTCAAAGGTGAGCCTGTGTAGCCTTAGGTCATTTTCTGTACTTTGCTTTCCATGAATACAAACTGTGGCCTCTCCCCAGGGGAGGAATGGTTCTTGACTCACCAGAGCATTGACTTGTTATTCCTGTATGTAAACAAGGACTCTTCCTTTTCCCAGTTGGCTTAGCCTGCTGCTCAGTAGCATATCGTGGCATGCCCACCAACAGAGCTGACTTTTGCCTCTGGGGCCTATAGCTGGACTTTTACTATCTCTTGAAAAAATTAAACAAAGTTCCTTCCTTCTTACTTGGCATGGTCTCTAGCTTCATTATTTTTTGTCTACAGGATTCTTGAGATAATCACCCAACCTCTTGGCCCATAAAACAGGGTGGAAGCTGGGCATGGTAGTGCACACCTATAATCCGAGCACTTGAGAGACTGAGGCAGGAAAATCACTCCAAGTTTTAGACCAGTCTGGGCTACAAAGTGAGCTCAAGAGAAGCACAGTGAGACCCAGTATCAAAAATATAAAAAAATAAAAAAGATGGGGGAGGTTGGAATAGGGCCAGGTATGTAAGAACCAACAAGGGAATGCACTGGCACTGTATCTCAGTGGTAGACACTTGGTAGCATGGGCAAGGACCTAAGTTCAATCCCCACTACCACAAACTTATCAAAACCCAAGCCAACAGAGAGACTGCCCCTGCTGAATGCCTCACATTCACCCCATCAGCACTCCTCCATCACTCCTTCCACATCTGTAAACCATTGCATTCTTGCTCCTGAAGGGCAGTAGCCTTCAGTATACTTCCTCACCAGCTGCCCTTGCACACACACTTGTCCTTTTAAAATAACCACACAACTGATGCACTTATGTGTTTAATAAGCCACATTTTCAGTTGAGCCTGGGTAACCTACAGAGCCCCTGCATCTGCAGGTCAGTGTCAGTGGGTGGGCCTGGAGACTTCCAATGTACCTCTGCCACGGCAGAGGGTACCAAGTGGATATATGACATCTAATGGAGAAGTGGGGAGTGGGACACTGAGGTAGCAGAGGTAAGCAGCAGGGCAGCCATTAGGGAAGAGCTACATCTAGGACCATAATGCTTTGAGGAAGCAGTGTTTCTGTGGGGGCTTTTGCTACCCACTCCTCTGAAACCTCTCCTGCCCATTGCAAAGGGGCCAGGGGTATCTGGCCTGTTGATCTTTCATGTTGAGGGCTCCTACGAGCTGAGACAGTGCTGGTAGACTTTCAGGTTAAGGACTGTTGACAAGATGGGAAATGATCAGACTGCAGAGCTGATGGAGCTACTTTGCACTAACTGCTTAGTATCTCCCTACTAAAAGGGAGGGTACAGACCCAAGACTCCAAGGGCACTTAAACAGTAGGTGTGGGAGCCCCAGAGGCTCAGGTAATGGGCTCTGTCTCTTTTAGACACCTTGCTTTTTGCTGAGGACAGAGAGTTATGAAGATAACTGGGAAATGATAATCTCCTTTGCCTTATACCTGAAGAGCTGTTTGGGTCAGGGAAGTAAGTGAGTGGTGCCTCCTCTGTCTGGATGATGCCAGCCAGTACACCTTGTCCTATACTTCAGTAGCCAGCTAAATAACCAGAGTAGAAGGCCTGGCCCTAGGGCTGGGGATTTAGCTCAGCGGCATAAATGCCCGCCCTGCAAGCAATGCAGTTGTGAGTTCGATCCCCAGTACCAAAAAAAAAAAAAAAAAATTGCCTAGAAGGCCTGGCCTTGGCCTGATTACTTGGCTCCCTGCTAACAAAGCAAAACCAAAGAAATTCAAGGTTTAGGCAAGAATAGACTTTCCTTACAAATCCCAGAAATGGTCAACCTCAGGCTTCCTCTCAAGCAAATTTCTGTGTGGTCATATTTCAGGAGGATAAGAAGGGAGACAGGAAAAAGTCAAGCCTAAAAGGGCGTGCAAGCCTTCCCAACATAAGGCCTCTCCTGAGCTTTGAACCCCGAAAGAGAAGAAACATGTGTTCTCTCCTTATGAGTCCTAGATCAGGGTACAGACAAACTCTTCACTTGCCCACTACCTGGGGTTACTGATGCCAAGGCTGAAGTCTATGGAGGCCTAGTCCTGCAAGCATTAACGTACCCCCTAACTTCAGTACTGGGCCCCCTGAAATCATTCTTGAGCAGCAGCCAGACACAGTACAGGAGCCAGGCATACTGGTGCACACCTGTTATCCCACCACTCTGGAGACTAAGGCAGGAGGATCATTGTGAGTTCAAGGTCAGCCTGGGCTACAAAGTTAGTTGAAGGCCAACCTGAACTACACACCAAAACCCCGTCTCATAAAATAAACAAACAAAGACACAGTGTAGGATCCAGCACTCCTAGTGATGCCTCCGGAGACCTTTCTGCTTCTGCATTCCCTTATTCTCTGTGGGTTTTGAGAGGTTCATTTGCTGCCATTTCCCTGAAAGTGATGGGAGAAGAAAGAAAGGTTATTTTACAGGTAGCGGAATAGCTCCTGAGACTAGTTCTTCCTGTTGGATGCTGAGCTGGGCTCAGTAAGAAAGCTCTATAATCTAAATCTCTTTACTGATCTCACATAGCCCACTCTGGGCCCACTATTTCCCCTCTGTATGTCTGTTCCTGGTTTCTACGTTATGCTGCCATCTTTTCCCAGTTGCTTAAGAAAGCTGGGTAATGAGTGGCAGCCTTCCTAAATAACCTCTTACCTTTACTCTTGGACCTTTTTTTTTTTTTTATCGGTACCAGGGATCGAATTCTCAACTGCCTGCTTGCAAGGCAGGTGCTTATGCCACTGAGCTTATGCCCCAGCCCCACTCTTGGACCCTTTTATCTACTTACCACTAAGCAGGCAGTTATAAAGGCAAATTAGATGAGGCTACAGCCTTGATGAGTCAGTCCCTCAGTGGTTCTCTGACCACTTGATGCCTTCATGTCCAAACTCTGCCATCACAACCTTATCTGTTCTTCCAGTATGTCACCCTTGTCCTTTCCTGTGGGCATTGTTCCATCCATTCCGCTTGCCCAGTACACTACGCCATCTCCTGGCCTTGGTCCAGTTTAGGTACTGTGGGAGATGCCTTCCAGATGACCCTTACCCTTGCACTGTTTTCCTCTTTATAAGTCTCTTGCTTCCTCTATAAGCAGGGCCGGGATTGTCCTTGTTCTTTGTGAACGAATGCCTTGATTACGGAAGATTTGTTTGTTCTTTTTGTTCTGGGGATTGAACTCAGATCTTTTGCACTGTTACAACCCTAGCCCCTACCTCCTTTTATATATTAATTTTTTTTGAGACAAGTGTCTTGTTAAGTCTCCCAAATTGTGCCCACACTTGCAATCTTCCTGTCTGTCTCCCAGGTAAGTTCCTGTTTTACAGATGAGGAGGTCAGTCAGTATGCTAAGAAGAGAGACTCTTAGGACTTGGGGTATAACTCAGCATTGAGCCAGTTCTTGCCTTCCCAACTGAATAGCTTGCTCGTACAGACCTGCCTCTGCATCTCTGAAATGAGGACAATATTCTACCTGCTCCTAAAGGTTGCTGAACAGCGTGCTGGTAACAGACTATCCAGACACTGGTGTAACCTCAACTTGAAGCCTAAGCTCTACATGCACACTTGGAAGGGTGTTGCAAAGGCCACTACATACCCTGAGAATTTCCCTCTCGGTAATCAGCACAGAAGTGTACGTTGTCTACCCACCATGAGGTGGAAGTAGGGACAAATTTACTCACCACGAAGGGAAATGCGTGGAGCCATCAGGTGTAGATCCATTCTGGCCGCCCAGACCTGGAGGCAGGAACACATCCAGAGCTGCTGCAGGCTGGGAGTGAGGATCTGAGCAGGCATCAGCTCAGGTTAGGGTTAGGGGCATCTGGTATTGTTCAGAAGAGTGTGATAGGGTCCTAACAAACTCTTGGTGTTGTCTGGTGAGGGTTCTGAAGAACAGTTACAATGTTAGGATTCTGGCATAAAACGTTATGGTGGCAAAGTACAACCTCCTGATAAGGTGAAGGTCGGGGATATTCTGGGATACAGCCTGGTGGTGGTATGGATGGCCACCCACAGAGGTTCGTAGGGAGCCTCACCTGGGCGGTGATACAACCCGGTCACCGTGTTCCCGTAGAACCCCCACGCCAGCTGGATGCCCAGGAGACTTAACACCAACCAAAGCAGTAGCAGCTTGAACAGGGTCACGCGCATGTCCTGCGCCTCCCATTCCCGCAAGAACTCGCTGCCCAGGGCTCCCAGTGCGCCCACCACAGCTGAGGGCAAAGCCTGCAACGACTGACCAAACCATGGTTCCGCCATGACTGGCCCGCGCCCCATCTGAGATACTGTCACTGTAGTCTCTGCCGCGCAGGCGTGTGGTCTTCCGGGGTCAGGTCTGCCAGTGCGCACGCGTAATAACAAGCAGGGCGGATCTCTTTTGCTGGAAGCGTTGGCAGTTGAGGGCGGAGTAGTAGCAGCGCGCACGCGCACCTAACCGCACCCTACTTTAATTAAAGGATGAGTGACTCGCGGAGTACAAAATAGCAACCTGGCCTTTTATAGCCCGGGAGTTCCCGTGATGCCCCACGCGGCTTAAATGATTGGTTACTCGAGTTTTAGGGTGTGGACGCACTCCTGAGCAATCGCGCGCGCGTACGCGGGGCCGCGACTAACTCTGGCTCGAGCGCGCTGGGTCCTCGGGAGCGTGCACGTCGTTCCCCGCCCTCCCGCCACCGCCCGCCCTCGCTCGCTCGCGCTCCCAAGCCCGCCGCCCTCCGTCGGTTCTCTCGGTAGTCCGCCTTCGCCTCTGGAGCTATCCGCCCTAGTCTTCGATCTTGCGACTCGCGGGCAGGAGTCCTCAGCGTGAAGAGGCCGGACTCGGGGATCGTCGCCGAGGTGAGCGAGGGGGTCTCTCCAAGCGCCGCAGAGCCTGGGGCTCGCCTGGCCGGCACTTTTCCGGCCACTCGCCCGGAGCGGCCGCGCCCCACCTGCTGCTAGCTCCCAGCCTACTCTGCCCCTAACCCCTAGCCCCTGCCCCTGACTAGGGGCCAGGGCCCCGGGCCCCGCGCCCCGCGGCGGCGGCCCCGCCCGCGCAGTCTCCGGAAGCGCGCCCCGCCGCCTCCAGCGCCCCTTCCCCCGCCCAGCCGGGCCTGCTGGAGCTCGAGCCGCCCGCCCCGCCGCTTCCTCCCTCGGCCGCGACGAGCTAGGTGGGGGCTCCCGGGCCTCTGCGGAGCGCGCGCGCCGTCCGACTAGGGACGGCAGAGAAACTTCATAACTCCATTTTGCCATTTACATTTCATGTGGAACGTGAATTGCCGTTTTGCACAGGTTGAAGATAGTTATGCTTTGGGTAGATTTCCCTTTTTTACGGCAGTATTCTTAGAGATTGTGTAAGTAAAAGATTGTGTTGCAATTTCAAAGGTTAGACCTCAATTGGGTGGAGATATTTTGCCAGTTGAAAAAAACATTTTTTAATGACTTAAAGTATGTTTTATCAAAGTAGCTGCAATTCTATTTACTCCTTAGTGAGGGATCGCTTAAACATTAGTCCTTCATTACTGATTGTCTTCATGAAAGTTATATGTCGACTTCATGAAATTGCACTATTCACGCCCAGATCGATTTGGTTTTTAAAAATTTTTTAGTACTTTATAGCGGAAAATTGACCTTTTAACTGCCGTAGAGTTGGTTCCACTTATGCTTTTTTGGGGGAGTGGATCTTTTTGAGACAGGGTTTTGCTGGCTTTGGCAGGCCTTGAACTCACTTTGTGGCCCTGGTTGGGCAGCAGTCCTCGTGCCTCAGCCTCCCAAGTGGATTGCAGGTGTGCGCTGCCCTTCCCGGCCACTTGTGCTTTTTTAGTGGCCCTCATTTAAAACACTTTAATTAACTGTTGATTTGTTTTTGTTATTGTTGTCATTTTAGTCCTTCCAGATAACTTTTTTTGCAGGTATGTAATCAGATTATATTGTTTTCTGTCGGATTTGAAGGGGAAAAATACATAAGCAAACCCCCCTGAATCTTGTAAGATAATATATGTGGTGAGAATTTTTCAATCACTTTATGTTACTCCCCAGTATGCAGTACGAGCCATGTAAATGATTGTCACCTTCAACATAGCTAGATTGGAGACAGAGGTACTGTTTTGAGCACTTAAAGGTAACATTAATTGAACTGAAAATACAATATTGGGTTGGTTGGTTTGTTTTTGTTTTGGTATCCGTTATTGAACTCACGACCTCACACTTGCCAAGCAGGCACTTGTGCCAAGACTTTTTTTTTTTTTTTTTTTTAAAACAGGGTTTTGCTAATTTGCCTGGGCTTGCTTGAAGCTCACAATCTTCCTGCCTCGGCTTCTTGCGATCCTGGGGGATTGCAGGCTTGTATCACCAGGTCTACCCAAAACTAGTTTTTTGGGTTTTTTTTTTTTTTTTTTGGTATCGGAAATCGAACTCTGGACCTTGTGCTTGCCAGGCAAGCACTGTGCCGCTGAGCTATATCTCAGGCTCTCAAGACTAGTTCTTCATTGTAAAGAATGATTTATTGGTAATATATTACATGTTGTTATCTTAGAAGTAGTTGCTTAGGTTACAAGACCTAGACATGAAAAAAAAAATCAATCAATGAAAGCACAAACTATTCTTTTTGATGAACTAACAGATTAGTAGTATGGTTTTCTATCATATATATGCATATATACACACACATACATATATACCTGTTTACATATGATCTTTTCCCTTTTTCCTTTTCTCCTTTCCCCTTTCCCAGTGGCTCTTTTCCTTTTGAAGAATTTTTTTTTTTTTTTGATAAGTTATTCTCATATTCTGTGTACTTGTGTAAAGCAGTGATGGGTCCTGGTGACAAAAAGTAAATGGTGCATAAGATGGAACCCAAGGCTGGTGGTGGGCTAAGCATGACTACCACTGAGTATAAGCCTCCAGCCCTGGAGCTTCCTTTGAGTCAAAGTCTAGCGCTATATTTAAAGTTTCTATTCAAATAAAAATTTCTACTGGGAGGAAGAAGACAGTACAAATAATGCTGTCAACCAATTCTTTCAAAAAACTCAAAATTAAGGTCTAAAAAGGAATCTTTAGGACTTACAGACCAACCCCATTTGCAGATATGTAACTAAGTTCCAAAGACTTAAAGAAATTTCCCAAGATAGTATGTCTACTCCAGAGGAGACCAGAACTATTTTCTCTGAAGTATTCTCCATGTGGCCCCAAACAACTGGTGTAGCGTCTGCTAAAATTCAGAGATTCCAGTATATCTAGTGTTTTCTCGTATTATATCTTGCACATGTGCATAGGTTGAGAGAGTCTGAAAAATATATTTGCAAAACAAAGTTTTAGTTCTTTAACTTTCACAGCACACTTCTTTCTGTGGCTGGATGATCCTGTTGTAGTCCGAGGGAGGGAGGGGTGGAGGGGGTGGGGAGAGAGAGAGCGCCCAGTATACTTAGGTTTGTTGAGAATGTTTTGAGGCAGCTGTGGGTCCTTTTGATTTGATTTAGGTTGGAATGAGTGGGAAACTGTATCATGTAAATAGTGCACATGTGTGTGATCATAGTTTTGTTCTTTTCCTTGGCTTGCTTCCTTTTATTTGTTTACGTCTTTGTAGTTTATCCTGGTTGTATGGAGTATAACTTAGAGTAAAACAGGTAGATTGAAATAAAAGGAGCTAGAGTATAACTCAGTGGTAGAGCACTCTGAGTTCAATCTTCAGTACCACCAAAAACAAGAAAAGCATTTTATGCCCTCTTCCTCCCATATGTGTTTGTTCAGTAGAACTCTGGTTGCCTGTGCCTACATATAAATATAAATACTGTACTTATGCAGGGTACGTGCTCTACCACTGAGCTACATAACTGACTATACTTTAAACTTGTTAGTGGTTAAGGATATATGTATTACTGTGTATTTTGCTCTTTTGGAACAGGTTCATTGTTGTGTTTTTGATATTAATAAATTATATTTCTAAGACATTTTGAAGTCAGTAACTACTGTAAAAATCGCTATTTCATATGTTTCTGTTTCAGGCTGGGTATAGTGGCACAGACCTATAACCCCAGTACTAGGTGGCTGAGGCAGGGAATCATCGAAAGCTTGAGCACAACAGGGCTTACAGAAAGACCCTGTCTCAAAAAAAGTTTCCTTTTAAGTGACTCATTTTTAGTCTGTGAGTAGTACAACATTAAATGCTGACCTCTATGCCCATAATTATTATAGTCATGTGGCTGAGAATTTCTTGTTGTGGGTGTTGGTCCCTATTTACTAGTGCTGGCTCAAATGATTTTTAAAGTACATTTTCATAGTATGTAATAAAAATAAGAAATACAGCCAGGCATGGTGGCACACACCTGCAATCCCAGAACCTGGGAAACTGAGGCAGGAGGATCATGGCAAGTTTGAGACCAGCCTAGGCCTCAAAGTGAGTCCACAGCCAGCCTGAACTGCATAATGAGACCATGTCTCAAAAAGATAAACGAAAAAGAAATACACTGTTATACTGCAATTTGTTTGCTGTTTATACCAAACTGAGCTTGAATTTTTAAAATGAGAGTGACTAAATTTTATGTTTAAATTATATACACACACACACTTTTTTTTTTTTGGTGGGGCCGTACAAGGGATTGAACTCATGACCTCATACTTGCCAGCAGGCACTTGTACCACTGAGCTAAACCCCCGGCCTTTAAATATATTTATGGTGGTACCTGAAACTCAGAGGAAATAAGAGAACACAGTGAAACAAGTTTAGTGTGGAATGAAAGGGTGGGAGGTAAAAGTTTAGGGAAGTAGGCAGGGACCAGATCATGTAGTGCCTTTAGGACACTGGAAGTTATTTGGGTTTGCCTAAGGCGGTGGCAGCAACTGCAGTTGGTGTTTCTGCTTCTGTTGCTCCCCCCCCCCCCAGTACTGGGGATTGAACTCAGTACTTAGTAAAGATACTGGACTACATCTTAAGCCCTGTAAAATTTGAGACAAAGTCTAATTAAGTCAATAAATTGCCCAAATATGGCTTAATTTATCCTGCTTCAGATGGAATTATGGGTATATGCCATCGCACCCAAGTTTATTTGATGGTGAGGTGAGGGGTGTGGAGGCATAGGGGTGCTGAGATGGTCTCCCTAAGCCATCCAGACTGCCCATTTTGAACTGGTAATCTTGCCTCCAGCCTTCCAAGTGCTGGCATTACAGGTGTATGTCACTTATACCTGGCTGGTTGGTTTTGTTTTGAGATGAAGGGGTTATTAGATTTTTTTTTTTTTTTTTTTAGCAAGAAAATGATGTATCCGATTTATTTTTATTTATTTATTTTTTATCTTTTTTTTTTTTTTTTTTTTTGTCTTTTTTTTGTCTTTTTCGTTTTTATCGGTACCAGGGATCAAACTCACGACTGCCTGCTTGCAAGGCAGGCGCTTATGCCGCTGAGCTAAATCCCCAGCCCCTATTTTTAAGTACAAGATAGGCATAATGCCATATGACTAATCTCAGCTTGATTGTTTTTGGTTTTGTTTTTATTTTCTTAAGACAGGGTTTTGCTGTTTACTCAGGTTGACCTTGAACCTGTGGCAGTCCTCCTACCTCTGGGGTTATAAGCCTGTACCACCAAATCATACAAAAATCTTTATAATGAAACACTGCAAAAATTAACATACATAGAATATATCTCCTCTCCTTCCTCCTGTGCTGGGGATTGACCTCCCCTCCCTTAGCATTGATCTATATCCCCTAATTTTTTTTGTTTGCTTTTGCATCCCCTAATTTTTAAAATTAATTAGTTAATTAGTTCAACCTTTTGTGGTGCTAGGGATGGAACTCGGGGCCTTTGTATTGAGCTGTAGTCCAAGCTAACTATTTGTTGGTTTGTTTGTTTATAGAGAGGATCTACTGTGTAGTTCAGGCAGTCCTAGCCTGCTGTGTACCCTAGGCTGGCCTGGAATTCTCAGTGATCCTCCTGCTTCAGCCACCTGAGTGCTGGGATTGTAAGGCATGTGCCACCAAGCCTAGTCCTTAGACCCCCTCCATCCTAGTCCTTTTTATTTTGCTTTTGTTTTATTTTGAAACAGCTCACTAAACTGCCCAGGCTGGAGTTGCCTTTGCTACCCTCCTGCCTCACCTTTCAAATGCTGGGGTTGCAAGTGTTTGCCACCATACCTGGCTTGTTTTATTTTGTTTTGTTTTCCATTCTTCTTGTTTTTGAGACAGCATTTCATTAAATTGTTCTGGCTGGGTTTGAACTTGACATCTTTCTGTCTTGGCCTCAGTAACTGGGATTATAGGTATGTACTATCATGCCCTGCTCATTTACTTTTTAGTTACTTTTTGGAAAGGGCAACATTTAACCATGCGTGAATATTTATGATATTTAGAAGGTAAAATTGACTGTAAGTGAAGGATGCCAATGTGATAAACTTCATGGTATGTCAGTTAAAAGTTCAATAGTAGCCAGAGATGGTGGCACTTATCTGTAATGTTGGCTACTCAGGAGGCTGAGGCAGGGAATACAAAGTTCAAGGCTAGCCTGGGTAGTTTAGGAAGACCTTATCTCCAGAAAAGGAATAGATTTTTATTTGGGGTTTTTTTTTTTTTTTTTTTTTTTTTTTGGTACTAAGGATCGAACTCATGACCTCGTGCTTGCTAGGCAAGGGCTTTTGCTGCTGAGCTAAACCCCTGGCCTAGAATGGATTTTTGGAGGTACTGCTCAAAGGTAGAGTTCTTGCCTTTGAGGTTTGTTTTTTAGTTTTTTGAGAGAAGGTCTCATTGTGTAGCTCAGGATAACTTCAAACTTAGCAGTCCTGCCTTAGCTTCCTACATGCTCGGACTACAGACATGTACTATATGATAAGCACTGCCTTCCTTCTACCTCAATCTCCTGAATGTTAAGAATACAGGTTTGAAAAAAAAAAAAAAAAGAATACAGGTTTGCACCACTACCCCTGGCTTGGCTAGCATCTTGAGGCCCTGGTTTCACTCTTCAGTAATGGGGAAAAAATACTGTACTTTTCTCTCTCTGAACTCTCTAGGTAAGTTTATTGATTTATACTTATTTGTAGCCTGTTCTTTGTTTTTTGTTTTTTTTTTTTTCTCATGAAGGGAATAGATGTGATTTTTAAATTTTTCTTATGTCTTTATAGCCTTTCATCTGAGAAGTTCAAGGTACTTTATACTTAAAGTTTGCTACACAGGCCGTGCGTTTTGCAGTACATTTGTAAGGTATGTAAATAGAAATCTTTTCTTTATTTCTCTTTCCCCATAGAAGAGAGATTATTTATGTATACTCAGCAGAAATGTGAGCTCATTATAACTATTAATGACTCAGTTGTCCATTCATCATGAAGACTTTAAAATTTTATTGTTTTGATGCTGGACTTTTTTTTTGTTTGGTTTTTTTGGGCTTTTTGTTTTTTATGGTTTTTTTTTTTTTTTGTTTTTTGTTTTTTTTTTTTTGATACCAGGAATCAAACTCATGACCTTGTGCTTGAGCTAAGCCCTGGCCCTATTTTGTTTTTCTTGAGACTCTCCATGTGGTATAGGCTACCCTTCAACCCACTGAGTAACCCAGGTTGGCCTCAGATTTACATCAAGCTTCCCTCCTCTAAAGTACTGGGATTACAGCATGTACCACCACTCTTGGCTATGAGACTGGGTTTTTTTTTTTTCTTTGTGTTTTATTTGTTGTGTTTTGTTTTTGGAGACAGGGTCTTAGCATGTAGTGCAGACTCATCTTGAACTCACTTGCCTCAGTCTCCCAGTGCTGGGATTATAAATGTGTGGTGTACCATGCCCAACCTCTAAACTGGTTGTGAACTCTTCCTGCCTCAGCCTCCCAAGTACTGGGATTACAGGCATATGCTGTTAATTGAGTTTTTTTTTTTTCCCTCCAATCAGATTGTATTAGTACATTTTAGATATACATGATGATCATATTCATTGTAGAGAATTTGTACCCATACATGATTTAATTGAGGTGGTGTCATGTTTTTGTTATTGTTTTAAGTAGTGCAGACAGTTCAGGGTTGGCCTTGAACTCTTGATGATCCTCCTGCTTCAGCCTTCTGAGTGCTGGGATTGCAGGTGTACACCACCACCTAGCTAACTTTACTATTTGTTGTGGGTATGTCTAATTATCAATAGAGGTTAGGGTCAAAGACAGTTCTCCCTCTTACTTAAAGAGGTTAGCAATGATGCTGGGTTGGGCGGTTTGTGCAGGTGCTCTTTAGATATTTTACTTTAGCATATTTTTGCTGTGTTGGGAATTGAACCCAGGACCTTGTACCTAGTAGACAATACTCTACTACTGGGTATTTGGGTTTTTGTTGTTGTGTTGTGTTGTTTTGAGTCAGGGTCTTATTACATATAGTGCAGGCCAACCTTGAACTGTATAGGTTAGGCTGGCATTGAATTGACAATCCTGCTCCAGCCTCCCAAATGCTAGGATTTTAAGCATTAACTGCCATGCTTTACAACAAAATGGATACGTTTTTAAACACTGTAATAGAGTTATAGTTAAGTGGTATCTTGCTTAGCATATTGATTTCAATCTGCCCTTTTTATTTACTTTTTTTTTTTTTCTTTTGAAATAAAGTCTCATTCAGATCTGGAAGGTTAAAAAAAAAGAAAACAAAAAAAGAAAGAAAGAAATAAGGTCTCACTATGTACTTCAACCTTGAACTTATTGTGTAGCCCAGGCTGGCCTTGAAGTTATGGTGATCCTCTTGCCTCAGCCTAACTGCTGAGATTACAGGCATGTTCCACCATTTCCAACCTTATTTTATTTGATTTTACTTTTTATTTTTTATTTTTCATTACTGGGGATTGAACCCAGGGCCTCATATGTACTAGGCAGGCGCTATATGACTGAAATATAGCCCCAGCACTTTTTGCTTTTTCAGACAGTGTTTTACTGAGTTCCCCATGCTGCCCTCCCTTGGGTCACAATAATTACAGGAGTGTATTTTTTTTTTTTTTTTTTTTAATATGTGCTCATGCAATTACTGAGTTGCCTGGGTTTAACTTGAATTTGTGATGCTTCTGCCTCCACTTCACAAAGTGCTGAAATTACAGGCATGAACTACCAAGCCTGGCTGTCTTGGCTTTTTTTTTGGTCTTTTTCATGTTTATCGATACCAGGAATCGAACTCACGACTTCCTGCTTGCAAGGCAGGCGCTTATGCCGCTGAGCTAAATCCCCAGCCCCGTCTTGGCTTTTTAAAACAGGGTCTCTGGCCAGGGATTTAGCTCAGCAGCATAAGCGCCTGCCTGGCAAGCGCTAGATCATGAGTTCAATCCCCTGTACCAGAAAAAAGAGAGAGAGAGAGAGTCTCACTATGTAGCTCAGGTTGGCATTAACTTAGGGGATCGTTCTGCCGGAGCCTCCCATGTGTCAAGATCCCAGGAATGTGAGACCACACCTAGCTTAGAAAGTTTCTTAATTTGGTTGATAGCATTAAGTATCCTAGGCTGATATCATTTGGCTACCATTCCTTGTTCCTGGGTTTGAGTGCATTCTACATGGAGAAGTGCTCTGTTAGGGCACTGAGTGTTCTCATTTGCTGAGATGGGCTGCTTGGCAATGAAGAAATCTTGCTGGTAGCAGTTTTTGGTACAGTCTTGTTTCTAGAATAAGAGGAATAGTAAAGTTAGTTTGTAGTTTTGTCATTACTTGTTCATTCAACAAGTGGTTACTGAATAGCACCTGTGTCCCGGGAGCCCTTGTAGGACACATCTGTTGAAGACAAAGAAAGGTCCCTGTTGATTTATAAAGTTTGTTTTGTTTTGAGTCAGGGTCTTGCTGTGCAGTTCAGGCTGGACTTGAACTCATTATGTAGCCTAGTCTGGGTAAACTTACAGTGACCCAGTGCTGGTATTATAGGTATGTACTACTGTACCAAATTTGAAGGATTTTGATAATGAAAATGATGAAATCATCCAGTAACAGTTGGTAGTGGCTTGGACAAGAAAGGTATAAATGGGGGATTTGTTCATGATAATATTGAAAGGAGTACTGATAATCTTTGCTGATAAATTGGAAGATGGGACTTGGTAAGGCCTTAGTCTGTGGCCAAAGATAAGTCGTATGGAATGCTGGGCACAGGACAACTAGCCTCCCACCACTGAGCATGTTCCTTTGCTCTTGTGTGAGGGATAAAGGCAGCTCACCACTAATGCATTTGGATGATCTGGTTAAATTAGAGTCCTTTTTTACAAAAGGGCAGACTTGCAAAGTTACTGTTTGACTTGTTCATTTCTGCATTAGTGCATTTGTAAAAAACCAAAGTAAGGTTATTCTTTACTCTGTAAATTTGCTTAAACTAGATGCTTTACTTAAACTAGAAATTACAAAGACTGTTGTGCTATACCAAGAGCCAGAGGTCTCCCTGTCTGAGTCTCTTCTTTTTGGTTTTAGAGGTTGAGCCCAGGTCTTTGTTTTTTTGAGACAAAGTCTTGGTAAGTTGCTCAGGCTGTGCTTGAACTTTCAGTCATTTTGCTTCAGCCTCCCAGAGTGCTGAGATTGCAGGCATGAGCCACCATGCCTGGTTGACATATGTCTATTTAAGTAGATGTCTGCTTTTTAGCCTGAGGACTTGGATCTGTTAAATGAGTAGAAAAACATCTATTTCATAGACTATTAGATGAAATATATGAAGATTACAGTGCTCAGTTTTCTTCTTGGTAGAAACATTCATTCTAACTAGTCTATGAGAAATTCTAAAGGATCTTTTTCTTTCAGTATGTCAGTACAGAGATTGTATTTGTATAATGATTGTTTCTCCTTAGAGTGGAGACAAAATTGACAAAAATTTTATTGGTAGCAAATTGAAGTTTTTTCTTTCCTAGTGCTAGGGATTGAAACCAGGGCCATGCCACATAACCCTTTGTATTTTGAGATAGGGTCTTGCTAAGTTACTCAGGCTAGGCTCTAACTTTCCTTCCTACCTCAGCATCCTGACAGGTTCCCTTACCACCACCACCACCACCTTAGTTTTGTTTGTTTTGGTATGTGATTTGGCAACTTTGTTGGAAATACAGGATACTGTGTTTTGAGTTTTTATTGGAAAGTTCTTTACTGGATGACATGTTATTTTAATTTTTCTCCTTATTCAGAAGGAAGTTTGTCTTTTTTAAGATGTTGAGAAAAGGCAATAATAGAACATAGTGCTGACACACAGGCCTTCATCTTTTACTATACAGATTACAGTTTATAGTACTTAATAATCACACTGAGTTAATTTGGAAGAGTTTTCCCCTCTTCCCAAATCCATTTTATTTCAAGGATAAAAAGAAGAAGAAGGGAGAAGAGTAGGGGTTTACCTCAGTGGCACAAGTGCCTGCTTGGCAAACACGAAGTCAAGAGTTTGATCCCTGGTATCAAAAAAAAAAAAAAAGGAGAAGGAGAAGAATTTGGAAAAAAAAAACCAAAAAAACACTAGAACAAAATTTCAAACACATCAATCGGGGCAACAATGGTACATACATTACGCATTGTCATCTCCAAGTCATTCACCCAGAGCACAAGACATCAGCATTCAGTTGTCCAAACAATACAAGCATAAATCTTTCTCTTCAATGAACTCAGAGAAATTGATAGTGTAACTATCTTAATTTTTTATTTACATACACATATGCATGGTTTTTTCAGCTTCTCACACTAATGAAACAACCCAATGTTTACACATGTGTCTTATTTCACTAATGAGTATGTTCTAAAGTTCTACCCATTTACCTATAAAAATACACAGTTTATCATTCTTTATGACTGAGTAATATGCCATTATATAAAAGTACGACATCTTTTTTATCCATTCCTCAGTTGATGAGCCTTTAGGTTGTTTCTAAGATCTGGCAGTTACAAATTGTGCTGCTGTAAACATGGGTGAACATATATCACTGTAATATGATGTCTTTAATTCTTTTGGAAAGATATCCAGAAGGGGAATAGCTGAGTTGAATGGGACCTCCAATCCTAGTTTTCTGAGGAATCTTCACACTGATTTCCACAGTGGTTACCCCAATTTGCATTCCCACCAGCAGTGGAAAAGGGTTCCTTTTTCCCCACAGCTTCTCCAGCATTTGTTACTGGTTGATTTCTTGATAATAGCGATTTTTTCTGTGGTGAGGTAGAATCTCAGTGTTGTTTTAATTTGCATCTCTCCAGTGACCAGTGATGTTGAACACTTTCACGTATTTATTTGCTGTTTGTATTTCTTTATCTG